CTCATCAACTATCATGCGATAGAAATCTCAAGCTCATAATCTAATTGTTTAACAGAAACACTCGTGAAAGTTTAGTAGAACTCAAAAAAGCTGTGGAAACACTTGCCTACGGCTCATGTTCCCACAGCATTTCTTGTTCTCCCAAACTTCCACTTGTGTTTCTATAACTCGGTAGAAAAACAGTACATATTGCTATTTCTTAAAAAGATTACAATAGAAAATTAGGAAAAAGTAAATAAAATAGACAGGTGGGAAAAGAATGAAGTTTAACTTTCAGGGAGACCTAACTGTTTACCATGGTCAGTTTAATAATAACCTTTTTAACAGTAACGACCCATGCATTTTTAAAGTCATGAACTAGCTGGGCACTAGCACAGGAGTGATCAAAATCTAATTTATCATCCAAATACTGATACATTATCCAGCAAACAGCTGACACAAGAATAAAGAAAATCATCAGCTAAGTAATATTATGGTCATGCATGATTAAATTCTTAGAACTGACAATAAAAGAATAGTATGGCAATCGGTTAGGGGAATTCCAATTTTGACAAAGACTGGTGAATATTATACATGGAAGCTGAAGATAAGGTTTAACTTACCAAGAAAACCACAAAAGGGGAACAAATCCCCCCAAGTCTAGATGCCATGGAGCACACACCCATTCCAACATTTCTATAATGAAAGTAAAGTATTAGCCTAAAGTAAACACTTAACAGCAATGGACTATCCATTTAAGACATTATTTCCCAATATAAAATTTGAGGTAAGATTCCCTACAATCATTTGTACTGGAAGTTACTCACTTAACAGAAAGGCTAACATTTAAATTTGTATTTCCAGAAAATATCCATACCTACTCCACAGAAGGGATATTTTCTAAGAACTTCCCCCCCCCCCCTTCCAACCCCTCTGGAAATTCCAAATTTATTAAGCTTCATATTTCTTTAAACGTTTTGGTCTTACAGAAACCCCCAGGAATTCCAATCCCTTCTGTAGGGGAGTATGGTTATTTTCTGCAACTGAAGTACATGTAATATTTATAGCAAAATAGGCTACTATTAAAAGCAATAAATTTGTCTGCATATTACCTTACTACTGTAGGGAGAAGTTCCGCTGAATAAATATAAATGACAGCAAACGAAGCAGAGATTCCAAACTTGCCAATCATAGCAAACACAGTTGTCAACACCCTGTAGACAGGTTTAGTACCTAAAGGACAATCCAGTGAAAAAAGTTAAATAATACAAGCTGTACTTTTTCATAACAAACATGATGAAATGATGATGATGACGACCCCAAAGGCAGTCATGACCACAGTGATTGTAATGATAATGGTGATATTACACACCTGTTTGAAAAAATAAACAAACCAAGCATGCTGCTCCTCCTATCATCATGTAATAACACAAGCTTCGACGGCGTCCCACCCTGAAAAGAGAAGTTTTTTTCATCCATTTAATATTTATTTACTTTAATTAATTACAAATTTGGTAAAATTGGTAACATTTAATTGTCTGGTGCAGGGTAAGAGTGACATTTTCAGGAAGTTGCTCCCCTCCCCTCCCTTCACTGGGCATATAGACATGTAAATCAAGTTTTTAAGACTCAATTTTGTATCCAGATCACCACAAGCTCTGAAATACTGGTGTAAAGGTTTGTTGTTAAAAAAAACCTCAGATCCAATCCATCGCAATAATAATTATACTGTATGATCTCATCTAGTAACAACATGGCACAGAGACAAAGCATGAATTCTGTAACAGAGTTGTTGCTTGAAAAGGGTAAATAAAGGTTTTGTCATTAAATCCATCCTTACCAATTAATGAGACAAACACTCGTTAAGTATGCAGGGACCTCCATAAGGCTTGACAAGAAAAAGTTCTTATAAATGTCGCCACCCAGATGCTTGGTGTTGAGAGATAAGCCATAGTACACCAGCGTGTTCACAAACCTAAAATCATAACGCACAAATACTGTGAAATACTTTTTATAAGATTCTTAAACAGGATTAAGTTATAAACACTGTTGTGTAACTTGAGATGGACAAAATGTCTTGCAGCTCAGCAAGTGGGAACAAAGCCACATGTTAGCACCAGAGGGATCAATGGGCACTCAAGGAGTCCTCTTGATGATGTCAAATTTTGTAACTTAAGTGAAAAGTGGAGTCACTCGGAGTAGAGTCACTCTTCTCTGCTTGGTACAGAGGAACTCAGAGTCCATGATATTTGACAATTAGACCCCTAGCCCGCAAGGGCTAAGGGTCAATAGCCCATGAGGTGAAGCCGAATGGGCTATTGACCTGTGACCCTTGAGGGCAAAGGGTCTAATTGTTTTAGTATCACCCAACTATTTGGACAGAAAAGGTAATAATATAGTTAGCAAATGCAAATTGAAGAAATATTTATTTGGGAATAAAACGAAAGAAAGCGTCACATTCAATTGCGCCAATTTCGCTACTCGAGGACTATTACTAATAGTCCCCTAGTAGCGTAGCCAATTAAAATGCAGGATTTGCATTAGTCCACTAATTGGGTAATACTAATATGGATTATTACCCAGAACTTACTAAGTGCAGGACAGAATGTACATAAGAATGATTCAATCAAAACCTGGAACTTTACATTCGATATTACTGGTAAACAGTTGTAAATTATGTTATTGCAAGCATTTATTCAGAAAATGTTATTAAAAACTCACCATAAGTAGAACAGAACTATTGTAATTTTAGCAATCTTTAAATTAGACAGCAGATCCAGACAGCCATATCGGTTTCCAACAACAGACAATGGACGACTAACTTGAAGCAGAATCTTAGGAACAGCTATGCCATTTTTTCTCGCTATACTACATAGGATATCTTCAGCTTCAGCTAGACGACCACGAATTACAAGCCACCGAGCTGACTCGGGAACAATTCTGTGTAAGAAAGGATAAAAATTAATGTGAATCTTGAATGTGTAGTTGAATCTCACCGAATGATTGCCCTGTTTGCCACTGAGGGTTTCAATGTCTTTCATTAACCCCCCCCCCCCTCACCCACCCCTTGTTGCAGTCTTGAGATTTCCTGAAGGGGGTTTAAAAAGTTATATTTGAGGGGGCTGCTACATAGACATTGTTTTAATATCTTTGAATATTTTTTAAGTGTTTGCAAGAGTAAGGGGTAAGAAAGTTTAATTCTGCACACAAGAGTATCACATCAGCACTTTTATCTTTTAGGGGGGTAAAGTTTGACTCTTAGGAGAGGGGGTGTGGACATAAAAAGAATGGCCCTCAACCTCCTTTGAAGGCCCTGCTTAATTGCTGACAATTATAAACTGTCCTAAAATTGAATGAAAAAGGGAAAAACTAAATTCAACTCACCTAAAAAACAATATAAAAACACAAAATGGTAAAGAAAGCAGAACAGATAACGTCCTCCAGTCACGAACAAGATATGCTACAATGGGAAGAATCAATAGTCCTGTTGTAAAAAAGCATTGTGCCATTGTTCCAGCAAATCCCCTGTACGAAGGACCTATCAATTCAGTTGCCAGCACAAATGCTGATAATATTTCACCACCAATACAAAATCCAGTCAGAAATCGGAGTAAAGCATATATTCTGTAGGTCGGAGCAAATGAACTTGCAAAGCCAAATATAACAAGCCCTGTAAATGAAATGTACCAAATCTTTCTCCTTCCATATTTGTCTGCTAATGCTCCAAAAATTAGAGCTCCACACAAAGTCCCAGCCATAAGGATTGATTGAACCAAGTCAGCTTTGTAAGCATTTTCACAAACAAGATTCCACTGAAAACGAAAACAAAAATATACTTCAAAATAATACATTAAATTATTTGCTAATGCATGCATTAACTCTTTATAAACATATCTCTAGGCCAGCTGTTATCCAGAAATATGCATTTAAAGAAATTTTTTGAGATGAAAAGATATCTTCTTTGTGTAAATGATAACTGCGACAAGCAATCATGCAAGTATTGCATGAGAAACTGGACCGAAGAGGGACCTCAAGTATTTGCAACATGGAGGCGTGAAACAACAGTGCTCAGTGACAGTTACCACGCCTTGAACAGCTCAGGAAAATTAATACCTGCAAAACCCCAGTCAATTTTTTCAACCCTCTTTCTGCCAAGAAAAGATGTGTTACACAATTATATAGCAGAGAAGTAAATCTTATATGCTTACCCCTTTGAAACATGCCTTCAGTAAAACATGACCCACCAAAGGAATTAGCTACACTGTACCCACAAAAGGAAATCAACAATTTCAAACCTAAAAATCTTACTTGCATACTTAATAATGACCTCTATTGGCTAATCCGTAAAAACTTAAATCTTAATTTAAGATTGTCCATCTTACCTCAGCACCAGAATAAAAGCTGACGTAAGTTGTCAGCTATTGTTCTGGTGCTGAGGTTAAGACGAAAAATCTTAAATTTAGATTCTAGTTTTTACGGAGTAGACAGGGGCTCAAAGCTGAGCAATCAAATATCAGATTAAATGACTGTATTAAAAAAGTGAACTACTGTTCTGATCTTATGCTATGAATAAAATATTGTAAATTAAAATCATATTGCTTTTAATCCCTTCCACCAAATTTATAAAAAACAGAATAAAACCTAAAAAACATGCAAAATTGAAAACAACTTGCAGGTCGCATTTGAGATTAAATTGTATAGAATAAATTATTGTAGACGTCGTTATAACATTGGTTAACAAATAAAAGCTGACAAACGCACAATGTACATGTAAACTTATCAGAGGGAGAATTTTAGCGGGGCAAAAACATAACTTAGCAACAAGAAATAGCGATGATAACCTTAAACGAATGGAAATGAAAAGTATGTATAATATCATGAATGCTGAAGTTAAAGGGAAATGACAAGGCTGTAACTTTCTTTTAAGTAAAAGGAATCGATTTAAAATTAGTGAATCATATATGGCAACTATTATTTGCCATGCATAAATTTGATTTTCAACAAGGGCTGCGCTATTAAATATTCTCGATTCATAAATTTTAAAGAAAACAGGCTGACTCACCTCTGTAACGATTGAAGTAAATTTCGAAGTATACTGCATGTCCAAACAGTGTGATTTATTCTTCGGGCATGTTTCGTTCGAGGAAGAATTTACACACACCCAACTTGGCTCCGCGCCAACGAAAACTTGTAAAAGAAGCTGAAATGCAGCGGGAATAAGCGACAAGTTTAGCAAAGCATACAATCTCCTTTGATGAGGTCCAAATTCACCAATTATCCGTAAGACGTGGTCGAATTCCATTTCTCTGCTCTAGAGAAGTTTTCCTATCTGTCTGCGTCCTTTGTTTTCCTTTTGAAGTTACTACAGAACTGATTTTCGTCGGTCATTTCACGAAATGCATGCGAATTAACCGTAGAATAATTTTCCGGACGGTTTGCGCTTGGCGGCAACTTCGCGCCAATTAACGCTTTTCACCACTTTAGAGCTAAGTACAATTTAACCACATTATCATGAAGATTCTCTTTCTTTCTTGAGATCCATGATGGAAACCATTTCCATCATTTGCTCGCTTGATCTTTTGTTTTACAGGAAGTCAAATTAATAGATGACGAGCCCGGCGCGAACAGGTGTAACGCTGCGTAACCGGGCCGTTTGAATTAAGGCTTGGAAACCAAGCGATCCTTTGAGCAAGGTTGCCCTATTTTCCACAAACTTTGCCAAGGTGTTGATTTCATATTTGCCCTATCATATTACCCTATTTTCCGCAAACCTCGCCAGGTTTTTGTATGTAGAGGAAGAGGGAGGAAGGTATCTAAGACCATCTAGATCACATTTCAGGGCCATGTTGTAATCATTCAGCCACGTTCATTGCATAGTAGCCACACCCCCCCCCCCCGCTCCTCCACCCAGTACGAGCAGCAGTCAAAACATTATTGTCCTACCAAAATGTCACAAAAGGTTTCATGTTCTTCATTTGTTACGGTCTGTTAATGGTTTCTGTCTTTTACGATTCCTTTTACGTAAAAATCTGATGCATGAATCTCTCTCTTTAGTGTTTGAGATACTACTTAACCCATTGACACCTAGAGCTTCTTTGCAAAAGTACATTTTTTGGAGATTTTCAGCATCGATACAAGCCAAATTAGCTCCAATCTACTCAGAAAGGCATTTGCAACATAATAGCATGCCTTTCTTTCCTGGGGGGTACTCCCTTATATGAGCTACCGGTATATAGGTATGTCTGGCCTAAAAAAGTATGGTTTTTCTTCCGTTTTGGTCATAAATAGGGGATCAATTTTAGCTGATTTCGGCCATTTTGGTCATAAATAGGGTATGATTTTTGTTTTCTAGTCTTAAATTGGGTATGTTTTTTTTAGAAGCTACTTTTTCATCATCAATAAGATCATCAACATAAGCCCTTCATAAACTATGTTAGGGCGACTGCGCTAGCCGTAACGGTCATAAATAGGAAATTCAAATTTTTAGTCAGGTCATAAATAGGGTGAGGAAAATCGTTGATTTTGGTCAAAAATAGGGTAAAGGGGTTTGGGGAAGAGGGCCGCACACCCCCACCCAATTTTAATGGAAGTAACCCCTCCCCAGGGGGTTTTATGACATTTTTGCTTGGGCATACGCAGAAATAAAAATTTTGAGAGTGACCCAAGGCCTTTAGTTTTTTCCGTTCTGTTTTTTTTTTGACATTCCTTTTTCTCCTTTTCTTATCTTTTTGCTGCAGTGATTGACCTTCTTCTAGGCTTGCTTCCAGTTCAAGAATTACACAGAAAGCATCACCCAGATGGGCAATTCTTACCGTGGAGTGGCCCAGTGTAGTTGAGGGAAATTTTGCTTCGAGATCTTCAGTCAAATTTCTTAGCATTTTTGAAAATATAACAATCTCATTTGACCCAATCACTCTGATCTGGGTATCACTGGAGAGATCTTTTCCTCCTACAGAACTTGAGTGTAAGTGATGCCAATTTTGGTGAAAGGTGGTGATGTCAGAAGTGGAACAAAGGCCAACACTTGTCACAACCGGTTACGGCAGACACAGGTGTCAATAAAAAAATTTGGCTTGTGAAACTCCACTTCCCATTTGGGAATTCTGATGAACTTCCCTGGAAGGGGAATTGATATACCATCTTTGAATTTCTGTTTAGTATACTTGAATTGTATCAACAAATTGACTGCCAACCACATATAACAGTCATATATTAAAACATTTATTTGTTAGTAACTGCTCAAGGAAAGTCTGGTGTAACAACAGAATAACAATTTTATTACTACAGTAATTTTAATTAAAACTATTTGATCAACTTTCCATGTCAAGAAAAATAATGACAAACTATTTCTGTTTAGAACTAGATGGTACTAACCAATTATTGGTAATCAGAGTAGGAGTTAGTTACATATTTGGAGATGAATCCTAGAGTGCTCAAAAAAGGGAACCTTTCAGAACTTCAAGCCTTGTGTAATTCAGGTTTACTATATGACTTGTGTTTGTAGTTGATATAACGTGCACACTGATTGGCTAATTCTAGGGCACTATTCAACCGTAATGGCCATGGGCCAATAACGGGCATGCAAAAGGAAAGCAAAAAGCCATATAATAGATAACTCATTAACCTCAAACATTCAGTCTTAACAGAATTCAAACCTCTGCCTTGCTGTACCCAAGGTCAATACGGCAAGGCCGAGGTTTGAAATTTTCCCATCAAGACCTCACTCTTAGTTAATAAATAGTTAATATGCAGAGAAGGGGAGCAGCACCCCTAGAACCCTCTCCTAGATCAAGCACTGATACTGTTACAATTATGGATGAAATTTTAAATGTACATCAATGTTGTGTTATTAAAACTACATATCCTCTTTCTAAATGGTGTAAAGGTTTCACAGGCACAGGCACAGGCACAGGCACAGATTTTGCAGAAATCTTCTCATCTCAAACTGACCAGTTTAAATTTTGTCATGTTCTCAGGGTGAGTGTCAGATTTTACCATCCATCACCCCTTACAATCTCACACAGACCAATAATTAAGAAACTGGAGAACCACTTCTTGTCTCCTCATCCTAATTCTTTAACTACCTGTTTTAACACAAACATGAACTGTAAGAACAGAAGGTCATGTACAATCACTCTTGGTATTTCTACATGTGCCAGATCATACTGACAGCCTTGCAGATACCAACATCAGCATAATTAAAATAGCAGAGGCCAATGAATTGTAATATCGACACAGCCAACCAGATACCCTTGGAAACTTTCGGCATTGTTGAGCCATGTATGTAGTCTGTTAGCACCTGACCAACACCCCTGAGAAGTGAAATGGAAAAAGAAATTGTAGTCTGTATAGGCATGTTCGTCTTGCTATACACTGGTCAAAAACACCAGGAAAACCAAAAAAGACAGCCCACAGTCAGTCAACATTCAGCTGACTACAGGCCAACAGGCAACTAACAGTATCTCCTGGAAGCTGTTCTCCTGGAAGCTGTTTTACCAACAAACATAATACTGTTGGAGATAACTTACCAGTGGTTGTGCAAAGGAATAACAACAGCAAGAGCCCAGTCTACTGCAGCTGATGGGTAAATGATTCCTGCAGGAATCAAAGTCAGAAGGGCAACACTAACATAACGTTCTCCTTTCCAATGAGTGGATGGCTGAGAAGGGGACAGTTCTACAAAGTAAAACACATAATCTCCTCAATGTTACTGACAAATAAATAAAATAAATAAATAGGAATTTGCAATGGCACATCACATGGAGAGATCCTTCGTCCACTGCTTCCAGATCAAATTGGAATTTAGAAGTGTTGGTTCTAATGGAGGGAGGAAAACTGGAGAACTCAGAAAAAAAACCGTTGGAACAAGGCGAGAACCAATTACAAACTGAACCCAATTATGATGCTGGGTCCAGGAGTTCAACCTGAGCCACACTGGTGGGAGGTGAGCGCTCTCACCACTGCGTCATTCCTGCTCCCAGAGATGAGGAGTAGGGCCGAGCCAGTATGAGGCAAGCCGAGGCACTTGTCTCAGTCATTTTTTGGTTTTTGTTGTTTTATTTTTGGAGGGGGATGTGTAAAAAATGCTAAATACGTCGGAAAAGAATTTAACCATGGACAGTCGTGTAATTTTTTTCTGGCTATGGCCCTGTAAATAGTTACAGGTTAGCCCATCCCAGGTCCAGCAAGCTGGAAAACACATTTTGGTCTCACCTTACAAACGATGGTGCCATATTTTCTGACTGATAAAGAAAAGATGGAGAGTCCCGTCGAATACTATGGCTACATAATCTTACAATAATTCTGTTCTGTCTCTTACCAAGCTCAGCCTTGTGATTTGCCGAAGAATGGACAGTCTTTTTCAGAACCACTAAAAGGAAGAAATGTTATTAACAATTTATTACATAAGTCTCCTCAAAGGGTTTAATTCCATGATCTTGTTGGTCTAAAGAAAACTTTAATATAAGCTTACCACTTTGAACCCTTGGAGTGCAAGAAACGGTCGATGACGCGAGAACAGGCCTTCCAAGCGAACACACTGTAAATAAGCAATTACAATAGTAAAATACAAGTTCGAATTCATGTTTTCCGGCAAAAGAAAGAAGTGTTCCTACCTAGTCGGCCACTGTTTCTAATGCAAAGACGAGAGTACAAAATAGCCGCCATCTTGATTCTTTGCAGTCCCAGCCTTCCTTTACGTAACGCGTGCGGCTTTGCACGCATCAAAGCACCAAAAGACTTATGGGTAATACGGACTTGAAATTTTTTCGCTTTTTTAATCATTATTTACAGAAGATAAAAAAAGTATAAAACATATTCCAGACCTTAAATGTTTCTATCATTTTTCTTTGCTACATAACTTTTGATTTTCCGGTAAACTTTTTCCAATTTTCCAGAGAAATACCCTCAATCCCACAATACCTTGAGGTAGTTCTGCAAGATGGCGGCTCTTCTAAGGTACATGACGACTGCGAGTAAAGGTTACATCGATTTTCTGTGACTAATTATGCTAAAAGCCTTTTCTAAATTACACAGGAACTCTGCAAGGATCTCATCAGTGTTAGCTAAAGGATGTTTTCGGCCATCGTGCTTGTTAACGCGAAGGTAATTTCTGATCTGTGCCACCTTGCACGTCTTCGTTCTGCAAACTACAGCTTTTGTTTTTCAGGGAATCTGTTTAGCAAACTTGTCTTTCTTTGAATTTTCAGTATTCCGATTACTACTACGTCGTTGGCTCGCAAGCAGGAAGATTTTTGGACTAAAAATACCCGTCTTAATAGACCAATGTCTCCTCATTTGACAATTTATAGGTAAGCTTAAATTGAAAATTTTGACTTACTATGGTAATTGGTAACATTTAATAAAAGGATTATGCAATTTCCAGCCTTGAAGGATATGTTGTTTTGGAGTTAAGGGAGGGGGTAAAAAGCCTAAAATGTAGTTATTTTTGTATGATTATTTTTTGAACAAGCTGTGAGGCCACAAAATAGAAGCTTATAATATGCTTACAAATTGTTTATTTGTCTTCTTCAGGCCACAGTTGACTGCCATGCTCTCAATAACTCATCGTGGAACAGGAGTAGCTATGACAGCAGGTGCTAATGCTTAGAAAATGGTTCTTGTTCTCTAAATGTTGACTGTGTTTTTTGTATGGACTTATTAAATATGTATTGGACTACCCAGTTGAGTGGGCTAGCAGAAGGCAAAAGGAAAGGAGGTGGAGAAAAGGGTCCTTTTCACTGTACTGGTGCACAAAACCAAGTGCTTAACAGAGTGCCAGATAAGCTAATAGAAGATTTATTTAGGCTAACCAGTAAATGAACCATGCAAGTCAGCAATCCTTATTGGCTATCTGGCTACCTGCTAGCTAACAATTTTTTTAAACTTTTTTTAGGGGTGGAGATGAGGGTGTTGTTTAGGCTACCCAGATTGTTGTTTAGGCTTACCAGAATGGCTTGCATGTTGGTTCGCATTTCTCACTGGCTCATGCTTCATGCACACCTGATTTTGTTGTGTACCTGTGAACATAGCTGAGAATGTGTTTAATAGGCTGTATGGCAGGATAAAAGTTTAACCAGTGCCATGTTTGTTGTTGTCTTTTCAGTTACAACCACCTTTGCACTTGCTGCCCTGGCACTGCCTGAGAACTTTGAGCATTATTTGAATTTGATAAAAGCTTTGGAAATCCCAGCCATGATCATTTTCAGTGGCAAAACTGTTTTGGCTTGGCCGCTCTGCTACCATGCATTTAATGGGATCAGACATTTGGTACGTAGTTTTTGACTTTATCTATACTTTTGCTGTTTGTTTTTGTATTAGTTAAGAAATGTTTCTAAAGACCCCGAGATAATGCTGGTTAAAGGAGCTCAGTCATGGTGTTTTGAGTTATTTTGGCCACCCTTCAAAATTACCTTAAATTGAAAGAAACCTGAAAATACTGTTAGTAGTAGTTCACTAAGAAAGAAACACACTTAAGAAATAATGGTAAACCATAAAGGAACAAGGATGGAGAATATTAACACAGATTAGAAATGACAAACTTGAAAAATTCAGGCTAAACTTTTCAAGGTGTGCAAATTGTGACATAGCTCCTTTAAGATGCATTCTTTCTGTCTCCCTGTAGAAAATGGAATGGTAATTCACTGGTTGATTTGACACTTTGTTCTTATTGGTTAACAGGCATGGGATCTCGGATATGGTTTTGACATGGGTGTTCTGTACAAGACTGGCTGGCTTGTGTTCTTTGGTTCTATGTGTGCTGCTGCAGCTCTGGCGTACTTCCTGTGAATACAATACCTTGACCCTTTTTTTTTTCATATTAAGAATGACAGATTGATCTGAAAAAGAGGCCATGTTTCTTACAGAGTAGGATCATAAGATGTTTGTGCAGAGGTGCATGTGAACTTGCTTATTTTTTAATATGGTCTGAAAATTAGGTACCAACATTTCTGAATATTTTTCTCAGCCTTGACTGCTAATCTAAGAAGTAAGCTTATTGAGATGCTCTCCTTTGTACTTGCCATCTTTAGGAAATTGTGGCTAAGTTCATAGTTTGTGTTTGATTAACAACTGTATGTAACTAGAAAAGCTGTATTACTTTTGTAAATAATGGTATAATGCTACATTATTCTGTGGATTAATAAGAGTCAAACACTAGAAAAGGGATTGAATTCTCTTCAGTTTTGTTGTGATTTCTGTTCTTCTATCAGTAGCTAGTTTATCTGTGTTACAATATAATGTTGTGGAGAGAAAATATTTGATTAAAGGAATAAGAGAAACCCTTAGTTTGGTTTCTTTTGCTCCTAAGTCTGCGAGAGTTTTGGGTACTAATCCCTTCTGCCATAACTCTTGAACAATACTGAGGTCCTTGAAAGAGCCTGTAAAGTGAATTTGATGCTTGATTACAGTTTTGTCTGAAATGTGTGTGTGTTCTTGGGGTGGTTCTGGGGGGTAAATCTCAGGGTATGACATTACAAAAAGATGGCAAAACCTCGTAGACTACAAGCAACATATTTTTT